ATTATGTCCACTTGAAAGTGGTGGGTGTGCAAAGAAACATGGTGAGTGTGATGGGAGCTTCTCACTCTCTTGAATGCAACACTTTCCCCTCCTCCCCATTTTCAAAAACACCTTTATTTTTCTTTTCTTCTTCTTTATAATGGTGATATTGCATCTTTTTAATGAATATTTTTCTTTCTTTTCATTTTTTCCTCTTCAAATTAGATGTTCGCAGCTTAGATTTAAAAATATCCATTTTTTTGAAAAATCGAACAACATATTCATCGATGCAAAATATCCTTAAAAGGGTTTTATCTCTTAATGTCCATTTGTAAGGAAAAAAAAACCTTAAAAAAGATCTTTTCATTGAGAATTTGGATGAATAAAGTAAAAATTCAATCTTATAATGAAAATAATGGTTTCCATTATCCCATGGTATAGGGAGTCCAATCAAGCATCCTATTGAGAATGATAGGGATCAAACCAAACAAAATTAATTTCTGCCTAAATAGATTTGGGTGTTGGGGTGATGCAAGCTTAGTGGATTCCCAATTCCCCCTTCCCCTTTGGTCCCAAATATGAAATTTTTGGAATCTTGTTCAATTTTTCATGCTATTCCTTCATCCATATATATATATATGAACTTTCAACTTCAATTTTTGGACAAAAGATCTATCCTTTAGTGGATGTCATTCTCAATTCTCAATTTTGTTCTTTTAGTGGGTTTTTTTTCTCTCTCTCTCCCATTGAAATACCCTTTCAATTAACTTTTGTTTATAATTATTATAGTTTGCCAATGAGTTTAATACATCAAAACTATATGATTAGAATTTTTTGAAAAAATTATTATATGTGTCATAATCATGTTAGACATCTTAAATCACTCTTCACTAGTTGGTGTTCTCGAAATAAGAACAATTTTTGTGGACCTCGTCCTCTTCCACAAAAGCCTAACTACTATACCTCTTGCCTCCTTTTTTCCTCTTCAAAGGAGGGCCATCTTATATACCCTCCTCGTTAGGAGCATCAAGTAGGTCGAGAAAATTCTTGCTCTGAAATTTAAAGTGCGTAATACCATTATAAACTATACCCTCTAGATTCTAGTCCTATTCACATTAATTTACACTATTAATTGTGGTAGGACACTCTTTACCTATTCACAGTGCATGACGATTTATTGTCAAACCAACCCTTCAAGAGATGTCATATAGCTATCATGTGACATACAAGTCATCCCAAGATTTCTTGGACCGAAATGACCCCTTCAAACTGGTACGCCTCCTCTTACATCATGTTCCATGAAAAGATAGTTTTAGTTGGACGTATTAACACATCGGTTATCTTATATGATAGCCACTTCGTCTTGGATGGAGAGCTCTCTTTTCGTAAACTCATTATCTCACCTATAGTGTTGCATGTGAACATTTACATTACCAATAGGGTAACAAAAAACTTGGTCAAATATGATATATGGCATTCAATAATTATCAAACAAGAGCTTTAGCCTAAAATGGCTGTTTGAATTTTTGAGATCAGAAGGTACATGATCCAATATTTCCAGAAATGGGTCTGATATAATTAATTGAGGATTAGAGAGGAAGAAAGAGAGAAGTGGTGCAATTGCTCTCAAATGGTTGTTGCTTTGCTGACTGTAAATACAACATTTCTCCATCAGTTTTTTGTTAATTTGTTTGGTAGCCACAAAGTAAGAACAAAAAAAAAAAAAGAAGAAAGAAAAAGGAAAGTTTGGATTCCTCATCTCAAGAAAAGAAGTGTTTATAAAATATGTTAATGGTGGGAAAGCTAAATCTACTGCTTTGAGCCTTTGACCATTCCATTTTCTCTACAATATCCCATTATTTGTATATTTTTATTGAAAGATTTGGAATGAAGATAGACCCTTCAAAGTGCACAACCTCTCTCATTTATACAAAACAAATTCATGCTAAGGAAAAAAAAAAAAAAAAGAAGGAATGATAAGATCTTCTCCCATGATTAAACTAATTATATATATTTCAACCATTATTGAAGTGCCCTTTCTTTTTAATTTATTGGTAAGTTTCATGATCAAATAATTTTCTTTAAAAAATTAGGTAATATATGTTATCATATTTCTTCTAGTAGTCTAGAGGGAGAGTTTCTTGAATCATTCGAC